TTTTTTATTCTTTGTATTATTTCTTACAATTGCATGTGAGTCTACAGTTACCTCAAAATAAAAAGTTTTTAAAAATTTTTAAATATGATTAAAAAAATCCATATTTATTGTAGAACTCTGCTGTGCCACAGCATATATATATCACTTCAGAATTATTCTCAGTAAACTGGTAAATTCAAAATGCTTCTTGGTAAATCTCAGCAAAGTATTAATTTGAAGCTGAGTTTCACTAGCATGTCCAACCCCATAATAGACTTCTTTCCCTTAAGAACACACTTATTACTTTTCTAGAACATACTTCAATAGGATAATCCTTATTAAGAGCAGTAAGTAACTTTCTCTATCATCCTCACATTGCAAATAAAGTGATGGAAGAAGAATGTTAAGGAGGGAAAAAAGAAAGATTTCTACCAGGAAGATTTCTGCGGAAAACAAGCTTATGAAATGCTATTTGTTTAAAGTATAAAATTCCACAACAAAAGGTTATAAAGTTAAAAAAAATTATTGTGTCCCTAACCTAAAACAATTTGTTTTAAAGTCTTCAATTCTTGTTTCCTTTAATTTCCTCACTTCCTAAACCTCATTTTTTTGATTCATCAGAGATTGTTCATTAGTTAGGGATTGTCAAGGTGACCAATTACAAAAAATTACAAGATAAAAATTAGAAATAAGAATACCCTTCTTTTCTCTTATAATGTGGTTTTACTTCATCAGACGAAATGCTTCGGGAAAGGATCAACTTAGCAATAATAAGAGACCAAAGTGTGCCATTTTCCCTGGATCTAAAAAAGGAAAGAGAAAAAACCAAAAACCAAAAACCAATTATATTCCAGTTTGAGAGTGTAATTAATAAAATTTTTAAACAATGGCTACATGCATGCCTTTTACAAAATTAAATAAATCATCTTGTGAGGCCATCACAGGACTTTGCACCCAAGCAACTGCCATTAATTACTTAAAGGATTGGGAGTTTAGGCTTTCCATATTCCTTCACAACGAGTACTGAGCTCTCATTCCAAGGCAACCCCAAAGTCCCTGAAGTCCCAATAGGGGAGATGATGTTTAAGATTAGGCTTGAAGACCAAAAGCTGCCGCTGGGACAAGGAAATCTCCCAGATAACACCTAAGCTAGTTTAAATTGAAAAATCAAGGAGATACTAATATCCACTGAGGAATGTTGTGAGGTAGGACTGATGAGGAAGCCTAGGTCCTCTAATACTGCAAAACATGCTCCAAATACTACAGGCAAATTATAAACTCTTAATGAGAAAGCCGTTCAAGGTAATAATTTCAATAAGCTAACTGCTATAACCTTCACGAGGACTGTTTTCATACTTCCTTCCTCATCTAGGGTATTGTGGTTATAATATTAAGACACACCTATAACAACATGTAAGGTAAAGGCTAAATTTGAGAGCAGTAGGAGGCATGGGCCACAGAGACAAATAAAGCAATTTCTATTGGCTTCTACTTCTTTCATCATCATCTATCCCCTGAACATATTATGGATTTAATAAGACAGGCAAAATACAAATATATTCTCCCAGAAGATTAAATCAAATATTTAGTATCCAAAAGTGTTTATCATTAAGAATAGGGGTTATTTAGATAAGCCCTCTGATTGAAACATTAGCATGAAGTGGACTGACATCTTACAGAAGGCAAAGCCATAAAAAGTAAAATAGTCATTTAAAAAATGTAAAGTGAAAAGGATTCTTACCTATTAAATAACAGCTGCAAAAAGCCAGAAGTATTACCAAGAACACGTAAGTTATCATACGTAATATTCATTTTTTGAAGCATTTCACAAAATCCAGTTAGGAAAATAGGTGGATTGTCTAATTCTTCACACCACTGCAGTGAATACAGCAGTTCTGCAACTAAAGGAACAGACAGCAGCAAATTATCAGATGTACTTTGTGAACAAACCCTTTGGTCATTTTCACTTCTCTGCCCTATTTTCTAACACTACTGTGCCCACTCATTTCAAAACATCTATGAACTGATTTTCAAATCTGCTTTGAGATATTCAAAGATACTGAAAACTTAGAACATCTGTCTGATACAAAATACCGCCCCTCTCACAAATCTTACTTGGTTCTTTTTCTGATTAGTTAAGAATGGAGATAATGAAAGAGTGTTCCTACTATTGAGACATAATTGGTAAAAAGTTACACTCAGGAAAAAAACTAATGGACCCAAGACCTGAGATGAGAAGTGCATGCCAATGTGGTAAGAAATGGGAGACAGAATGACACAGTAAAAAGGGCACAGGCCTCAGTGACAAACTGGTCTAAACTCAAATCTATGTCGATCTTGAGCTGTATACATAGTAATCAATTAGGATATTACAACCTACTTCACAGGACTATTGTGAGAATTAAATGACCAAGTGTCTATCACAAAACCTGTCATATTGTAGGCTTCTAATACATAAATAGTCGCAACATCCTTTTATAAGCCATGAATGAACTTTGGAGTCAGAAGCCTTGAGACCTAGTTCAAAATCTAATCCTACGAGCAAAGTAACTCTAATCATGTCAAGATAATGAAAACAACAACAATAATATCTGACTAATAGGGTTGATAGGAAGATTAAATAAATAACATTGCCCATTTGTAATTAGTAACACAATGAACAAAAATAAATTAATATAAAAATTATTGCTCCCATATCCAATATTGTGTTTGGAAGGATTCACCCTATGTGCAATGTAAACTGTAGGCTTATTTCCTTACCCTTAATTGAATGTGGAGCTGGCTGACCAAAAGAGGTGTTTCAGTGTTTTACCTTTCTTCCGCAGAGCATATATTCTCCCCTACCAGTAACTGTGTTACAGCTGACGGCTTACAAACAAGATTAACATGGGATTTATTCAAATTCTATACCTTTACTACCATCTTGTACAAGTCACACCACTACTTACAATTCTAAGCCAGTTTCTGAAATGAGGAAACTTGCTGAGGTCCTAAATCCTCTTGGGATTCAACATTTCAACCTCCACTTGCCAGGAAAAAAAATTACAGCCCAATGAATATGAAGGTATAGAGGTTCAAAACTCAGCAGAAAATCCAGAATCCTTGATAAAACACCAAAGCTTCACTTACCCATTTTCTTTAGTGTATATGCCATAGGATCTGCTTATACTGATGTCATGCCAGCTTGAGTAACTGATCTTATACCAAATTATGCTTTACAGCTGATGAGATTATAGCAAGATTTCAGTATGTTTCCATCCTATTTGCAATTTAACATTCATCGCTTAAGTAACCGCAAGTTTCCCATCACTAAAATAATTAGTAGGAAGCTAAAGATTCTTGATGAACTAAAGATTTAAATTGTAGTGTAATCAAAATCATTTTAAAATTCTATTTACTGATACATTATATCCAAATGCTCATATATACTTACTTATTTCCTGAAGCTCATTATTTTCTAAGACTATTTCCTTTTTCAGTGCAACTAAAACCATTTTGCTCAATAATGCTGAAGTACACAAATGGCTGGGAAGTGTCTTTGTATCTTGCTCCTTAAAATCTGTTTTGAAACATTCATAATTCAAACTCAATCTTCCCTCTAAAAGAGGTCTATGTAACCACTGTGAAAAGAATACATTAAATTATATACAAAATCATTAGACATTTTAAATTATTTACTACCTATACAATTCAGACAGGGAACAAAAATGAAGTTATCAGAATATCTATTTTATTAGTAAAACCACAAAAACCTAGAAGTTTGGTTTCTACAACAGGAAATTATTAGCATGTATATTTCTTTAGGACTCCTTAAGGACCAACCTAGGTCTTATTCACCTTTGCCACTGTCAAATGGTGTCTTGCAAACAGCAAACATCTAATACATGAACGTTCAGAGACATAAAGGCAAAGCAAGATACTCATTTATTTTTCTCCCCTAGAATAAAATAAAATAATTCAAGCTTGCATGAAATACAAACTTCAGAGTCGTACACTCTCCAATCTCAAAAATACCTGCATAGGGAGAGACTGTCTCATCTTTTCCCATTCACTGTTGTTTGGCATTACACCTCCAATATAAATTCCCAGAAGATAAGTATCTTCACTCTCCAGAAACTTATTTAGCAAATCTTCAACAGCAGACAAGAGGACCTGAAGACTGAAAATAATGCAAAGAATTTAAGTGTTGTAGTTATGCTATGACTAGTCTGAAAACTCAAGTACATATTAAGTACCCTGCAATAGGTTATCTGATCAAAGGATATGAAAATAAAAACAGTAAGTGACCACCCACCCCCACAATGGACATAACACAGTCAAATCGGGGATCTAAGCCAACATTTATGATTTGAAATCAATTAGTGCTTCTATCACAGAATGAAATTTATCTGACCTAATCCAGATCAGATATTTTTGAAATAAAGCTACTTACTCCATAAAAAGAGCATGATTATTTGATCCAACCCCAAGAGCCTCTAGATGCATGGTTTTCATTTTTCTTATAGAATTTAGGTATGAGATGTAAAATATATTTGTAACTCAGTACCTAAAAACAGTGGTTACCTATCCCCCCAAAATAAACCAAGAACAATCAGTATGTGTGGTGGCCATGAGAGGTTATGGTCACAACCTACAGCAGCCTATGACACAAGATAGTACCCACCATCACATCGCTGGCTACAAATGAAGGGTCCAGCAGATATAACAAACCATTCTTCGATTAATTGACAGTTTAATGTATAAATATTAAAACAAAATGCTATTGGAAAAATTTGTTTGGATCTTCTCTTAGAGCCCTGTAGATTTCTTATATAACAAGTCATTTTTCATAGGCACTCACACTAATCATAGAATCTTATTTAAGGATAATGATCACGTATAAAAGAGACACTGCAACTGAGCACAAAAAAAATTTACCTTTTGATATCCAAAGGTGAAGACTGAACTTGGTTCTTCAGCCACAGAGCAGATAGACGTAGGAAGGTACTCTGTTTGTATGTACTGCCAGTTCGATGAACCAATACATTTACACCAGACAGCAAAGTATTTTTCAGCTTACAGATAAGAAAATCTAAAATCAAAGATGTGAAGAGGAATTTGTAATCTTACTGAATTAACTCTAATCAGTAGAAAAATGAAAGAAAAATCTGAGATTTTTTTAGATGCCATTTAAAAAAGAAAACACAAAATTAAGATTCAATTGCCAAAACAAAGTAACTGTGTCATAAACATGCAATAATACAAGCTAGCTCATGCCATATAAATGTAAAAATTAAGATTTTAATAGCTAGCTTTTTTCTGCTCTGAAATTATTTGTGAGAGTTGTCCTTTTGGAGATGTGAAAAAAAATTATTACACCCTTTCCAAATGAGAAGGTAGTACTTAAAAAAGGGTTGGGAGAGGGGAGCTCTCTATTAATAGTATGATTTTATGTTCCTTTCATAAATAAGTCTGAATTAACATACAGGCAAGAAAAAAGTCCTTAAAAAGATAATCTCGATTTCATGTTGATATACAAGACTGGATGTTTTACTATAGTAATGAGATAAGATATCATCATCCCCATTTATGAATAAAGAAACTGAGACATCAAGAAATTAAACAACTTGGCAGAGCTACTAAGATTCCAACTCATTTATTATGGGCCCTTCCAAATTTCCTTAGTATCAAGTAAGAACTTTACACAAAACATCTACATACATATTTAATTTGGTTCCTAAAACTGAAAGCATATAAGATTGCAGCCCTTCACTCGAAATGCTTTAAACTTTCCAATACATTATGATTCAATTAATAAAGCCTGGGCACTTACACTAACTATGACGGTCAGAGCCAGAGATTCCCAACAAAACATTTAAGCAGTAGGCTATTACCTGGCAAATGTGTTTTTTCTTTACTCTCAGCACATAACTGAAAGAGGGTTAATAATAAATCTTCAGATGATGGCATTAACAAGCATCCTTTCGCTGAGCTGAAATACTTATAGGCCACATCACATATATTAGACACTGATGAATCACTATTTTCAGCTTCTGACAATTTCTTTGTTTTAGATAAACTTTCATGAAGTTTAATAATGATTCTTTCAACATATACTTCTCCAATTAAGTAATCTAGAGGAAAAGAGTTTGAACAGATAAAAATAAAAAATATTAACAGTATATTTTTAAATAGCTAACTCTGGGTTGATAACCACATGGTCTTTCCATGGGTTTTTTAAAAAAGTGTTTATGTATTAGACAAAATTATATCAACAAACCAATCTGTTCTCTTACACAGGTAAAAAAGCAGTTTTAAATTAAGTAAAAAATAGCTATGGTCTACAAAATTAGAGCAAGCAGCTTTGCTACATTCAAAACCCTTTAGAATATGAAACTAAAAATATTAAATATCTTCCAAGTCATGCTATAAAGAATAACAAGTATTTAGAGTGCTTACAAAATTAAGATATTTGAATGAGTTAAGTCTTGTCCTTCTCAACCAATAACATGCAAACTAATCCCCCCCAAAGATGAAAAGGATTTTCCCCTACTAGAAAACAAAAGCCATATTTTTCCTACCATTTTTAACATGTTGGGATAATACCAAGCTTAGAAGAGTCCATCTTTCTGAGAAGTAAGATTCTGAATTTACTGTGGATTTGAAGTCCTTATTACAAAGACAATCTGCCAAGTTTACCAGTTTGTCTCCAAGGATATCACCTCTTAGCCAAGGAATTACTAAAGCAAGTTTATCTGAACTGATACATGCCTAAAACCATAAAATTAAAGCAAAGATTAGAAGATCAAAAAGTTTATCTGTCCAAAATATGACTTGTACCATATTACCTCCCTTCATCATCGTGGCCCCAACCGTACCCCCCACTCCTCTTCCTCAAGTTCTAGGAAGATTGGTATCTTCCTATTCCCCACTAAGCCTGGCTTAACGTTCAGTTACGTGCTTTGCTCATTATCTTCCCAACTATAAATATTCTCCCTCTTGTTTACTTATCAAAATCCCATCCATTATTTGAAAATCAATACAAATCCCTCCTGCTGTATGAGGTCTCCCCCATCCACTCCAGCCCACAATGATCACTGCTTTTCTCTGAATTTCTAAAGCACTTACTGGATTGTATTATTATTTAAATGTTTCATCTGTGTATGTCTTGTCTTTCCAATGAGATTATAAGTTCCTTGAGAGCAGAGACTGTCTTAAACTTCTTTGATACCTGCTATCAACACTGCAGATACGTTCAATGAATAATGAATGAACTGTAAAGATGGATTTATAAATGCTCTATATTCAATTTTGTTCATTAATTTTACTCAAATTAAATAACTACTTTATAATAATGGTAAATTACTTCAATATGAGCAATGGGATTTATTTCCCCCAAATTCTCTGAAAGAGAGTTACTGGGGCCAGGTATCTGACAGACACTTGTTTATTTTCAAGTGGTGGAGAAGCAAGGAAAAAAAAACTTGTAAATCCACCCTTAAAGCATGCTGATCCGTGTTCCCAGAGCTTCTTTTGCTTTAAGGGCTGAGAAGAAATGAATTTTGCAACTTGGTTCATTTCAAAGCAATCTGGAAAAAAGAAATCCAAGTGTGGATTGGGTAATGGCTAAAAAAAAGTTTGTCCTTTTATTTAAAAAATTGTAGGTAACCAGAACTTATATTTTAGTCCAAGCTTTACCAATATACTAGCCTTATGACTTTGGATAAATCTCTTAAGCAACCTGGACCTATTTCTTAATCTGAAAACTGAAAACATTAACCTAGAGAATCTCTAAGGTCCTTTTCTGGTTTCAAAATTCAGGTTTGTTTTTCATTTGTTTGTTTTTAAAGAAACTGACTTTAGGACTCTGCTTATAAAGTATTAGGTTCTACAAAACAAACAAAAAACTACTTTAGAGTTTAGATGGCTATAATACTGACTTTCCTATGTAGTTTATCAAAACTAAAACCTATCTATTCTATAATATTCCTGGTAGAAAAAATAAATTTCTGAATAAAAGGTCCCTCAAGTTAGCAAGACCTGAAGTTCAACTTCTCAGTGTATTAAAAGAATCTGTGCAGCTATAAGGAGATGGGGAGGCTAGTGACTCATGGAAGCACAGGAGGCAAATACTGGCTAGAACCTTCCAAAACACTGCCCAGGAAGAAAATCAGATACTCTTTCCAACAGATGCAAGGACCTAAACTACCTGGCAGCTACATTCCTAAGTTGGAAATGAATATATCAGCCTAGTCTTATCAAGTTATTAACTCCCCCTACTCTGATTCTAGGCTTATCAAGCAGCTTCCTGACAATCTGGCTTTTCGTGTAGTTTGTCTACAGGGAGAGAAGGCACTGGATGCACTAATGCAAATGGTGTGCCTGATAAGTTATTTTTCTAATTGAAAAATAATAAACTAATACTCTGTATTTACTTTATAAAAATAAACTATTGGGGAAAATGGGAAGTTATTGTTTAATGGATACAGTTGCAGTTTTGCAGGATGAAAAAGTTCTGGACACAGTTGCATAACAATATGAATACACTTAACACTACTGAATTGCACATTTAGAAATAGTTTAGATGCTAAATTTCATGTTATGTGTTTTTAATACAATTTAAAAAATAGAAAAAAAAACTTGTAAATTCAAAAGAGAAATACATAAAATAGAAAATCAAAAATGCTTTGAAAAAAGAGGAAGAATTTTAGGCCGCTAGTCATAACATTTCTATAGTTGGAAAAGTGTTATATTATTTACATCTTATAAAATTTATATCTTCATTAGGAAAGAATAGTTAAGCTATTTTAAAAATAAACGGTTTATGTTCTTTGATTTCCTTTCATTATTCTTATAACTAGTTTTCTAATTAAGTCAAATAGCAATCATACAAAGACTAGAAGATTTTAATTTGTCTGTACTATTCCAGAGTAGAGAAAACTTAATTTCCTGATGTGCCCTAGCTAAAGCTAGAACCACACAATCCATTCTTATGAAAGAAAAAGTAACAAGGATAAGAGCAGAAACTGGTAGCTTTAACTAAAAGATAATAAAACTCTATCTTTTTTACCTGCTAGGGAAGAAACACTAGATTTTTCCAGAGCCTATTCATTCTTCCCTGATATTCCTAACTGAAAGTTAATACTATCAAGAAACAAAGATCAAATGTCCCCAAATATGGGACGTTACTATAATAAGGAAGTTCTCTAACAAAGACACCTGACTACCTTTCCATATTCAGTGTGTGAATGTTTATGGTTTTAATTTTTCTGTACCCATAAATAAAAAAGAAGAAAAGGAAATAAAAATTTCTGGGATACCTTTTCAATTATCTGAAGAAGAGAATTCCACGTCAGGTCCACCTAAAAGAAGAAAAAAAGTTAGAAACAATGGGCTAGAATGAACAGCAAAATTTTTAAAAATTAAATGAAGTCTGGGCCGGCCCGGTGGCGCACTGGAGAGTGCGCCACTTGGGAGCGTGGTGGCGCTCTCACTGAGGGTTCGGATCCCATGTGGAGACCAGTTCCCGCTCACTGGCTGAGCGCGGTGCAGGCGCGACACCGAGGGTTGCGATCCTGTTACCGGTCAGTAAAAAAAAAAAGACAAAAAGGAAAAAAAAAAAAAAATTAAATGAAGTCCTCCTCTATGTAACCAATAACAAATTAAAACTTTCTTAGCTAGTCCAACTTTAAAAAGCACAGAGTGAAAAAATTCACCCTTTTGGTTTTTTTTCTTTTTTTCTTTGACCAGTAAGGGGATTGCAACCCTTGGCACGGTGTGGTCTGCGCCACGGTGTGGTCTCAGCCAGTGAGCTCACCAGCCATCCCTATATAGGACCTGAACCCCCGGCCTCGGCACTACCAGTGCCACACTCTCCCAAGTGAGCCACGGGGCCGGCCCAATTCACCCTTTTATTACCATGCTTTTGTCGTCATGGTACTGCTGAACATCTACCCAGCAGCATCAGATACTTCCCAAATCACAATCAAGAGTATACTGCTTATCTTTAAGTTGACATCAATTAATAGTCAAGAAATAATCTAAAACTATCTCCCATGAAGGCTAATTCTACTCATCTATTATTAAATTAGTTTAAAAAGATATACAACAATAATACCTCAGTCAGATCATCCAAGACATCTTTTCTTTCCATATCATTGTCACAGCAACAGAGGGCACTGTACAAAATGTCCACCAGGTCACCAGCATCCTTCCTTTGATCTTCATTTAGCCAACCTATTAGTTTCTGGTATAAAAACCGCACCGCAGAATTTTTTTGTATAAGTTTGGCTATTTTGAGAGGTTTGGCTTTGACAATACTCTGTTTTTCATCACCAAGGAGCATTTTAAATACCTGACTTGAAGAGAAGGAGTTGAGCAGTGTAGAAAGAAACCTTAGATGTTGCTCTGACTTTTGTTCATTGACATAATTAATACTCATCTCAGCAAGTTTACAGACTAAGTCTTCTAAAGGTTTTTTCCTTAGAGGAGACAAAAGGTCTGAAGAATTATGAGTAAGAAAAAGTTCAGTCAATTCAGAACCTTCACTGTTCTCTCCTTCTGAAGATACATATTTTTCATTCTCTTTGTTACTTTCAGGTATCTCATCAGCAAATCTAACCTTACCAATTTTTTTTTTGTTTGACTTCAATGAGCTCTTTGGCTTCTGAAGGATCTGTAAAAGGTGAGACACACCCAAAATGGACTGAACATCAGCTTCTGGCTCATTGATTTTCTTGACACAGATATCTGACAGTCTTTCCCAGAAATTTAGCAGTACGTTCTCCAAGTTGTAAGCCATTTTATCATCTTTTTCCGTGTCTGCTTTGGTTTCCCAGGAACTTAAAGTTTCTGCTAAATGGTTAAATAACTGCTCATGTTCTAATACTGGGTCTTTGAGAACTGCATCAATAAAAGGAATCAACTGAAAGAGAAGGTAAAAAATACAAAAGTTCAGTTTTCGAAAGAAATAAAATTTAAACAAGGTAGCTGTAAACCACTATGAAATTTCATTTTTGCTAATTGAAATACATGAATTTTCCCCCAGAGCCCAGAAAAAATTAACTTGAAGATCATTTTCATATCATACAAAGAGCTTAATAATTTCATCATGCTCCACACAAATTCCTTCTTTTTTATTATATAAGTGAGCAAGATTCTTGGTAATTAACAAATAATTCTGTGGTTTGTTTTTTTTTTTCCTTTTTGTCTTTTTTCGTGACCAGCAACGGATCACAACCCTCGGTGTTGCGCCCGCACCTCACTCAGCCAGTGAGCGGCCGGTCTGTATGTGGGATCCGAACCCTCGGCGGGAGCGTTGCCGCACTCCCAAGTGGCGCACTGTAGCAGTGCGCCACCGGGCCGGCCCTTCTGTGGTTTTTTTCATCCTCTGGACTTATTCAAGTGTTTTGCTTTTCTGCCTTATTTATAGGCAAATCTAATTTATTATGAGACTACAAGCCGACATGAAAGACAACTAGAACCCACAGAATTCAGAACCCTTTTTCTTAAATTACAAAGGGAAGATGAAGAAGTTAACTATCTGAGACATCAACTAGGATCTGGGTTTCTATAATCTCATTAACTTCCTACCATAAGGAACCATATTCCAGAACCTGCTCTTATCACTGGTTCTAAAAGCCAAGCCCAATTATTCACAAAAAGATAAATGCATTCCAGTATTTCAGAAGTAACGAGATGATTATTGCATAATTTAAACTTAATACAAGAGATCACACATAGCATCTTCAAATTCTGTTTTGCACTGCATCTCTCTAAAACACTAGAGACTGACTAGTCCTCAAGCATTATGACATTACAGTAGCAACTGACAGTATGGAATTTTTACTTATCTGGTCATGAATACACATAACTCAATTTCTAAATTACAAAAATGCAGTTTTTATAAGGAAGACTACTGAAAATGGCAACAAGATACAATGAGCTTGATTCTTTATAGTCAGTATGCAAAGACACTGATGATATTTACATTATAAATACTAAATACCTGATCATTGACGAGCATCTGTTCAATCTCTTTTTCACCTAAATTTTGCTGCATTATAAAACGTAAGCATTCAAAAAAGGCAGATATTACTGCTGAACACTCTGAAAAGCTGGTTTTCATTCTTTCTGATGACAGCCTAAAAAATAATAAATAACTGCGGATTACTCTTTCATGAAAAAGAAAATAAAAGCCCAGAATCACCAAAATAAAGACATTAAAAGGGCTTTGTACCAGGCACAGAAAGGTAAAATACTACATGCCCTCACTCATGTCAGAACTAAAAAGAAAAAAGTTGAGCTTTTACAAGTAGAGTGTAGAATTGTAGTTACTAGAGGCTGGAAAGGGGAGGGAATAGGCTGGAATAAGAAAAGATCGGTTAATGGATACACAATTACAGACAGACAGGAAAAATAAGTTCTGTTGGTGTACTGTAGTGGTAGGCATCTATAATTAACAATAATTTATTGTATGTTCTCAAATGGCTAGAAGAGAGGAGTTCAAATGTTCTCATCCCATGATAAATTTTTGTGATAATGAAAATGCTAATTACCCTAAATTTGATCATTACACATTGTATACATGTATTGAAATATAACTCTGTACCCTGTAAATATGTACAGTCAATACTTGTCAATTAAAAATAAATAAATCTAAAAAAAAAAAAAAGAAGAAGAAAAAGAAAAGGTATACCTAAAGAAGAGGATTTTTTTTTTTTTTTTTTTTTGCAGCTGGCCGGTACAGGTATCTGACCCCTTAACCTTTGTGTTATAACACTGTGCCAACTGAGCTAACCGGCCAGCCTGAGAAGAGGAATTTTTAAAATAAAATTCTTAAACTAAAAACTGGGAACACAGGCCGGCCCGTGGCTCACTCGGTAGAGTGCGGTGCTGATAACACCAAGGCCACGGGTTCGGATCCTATATAGGGATGGCCGGTTTGCTCACTGGCTGAGCGTGGTGCTGACAACACCAAGCCAAGGGTTGAGATCCCCTTACCGGTCATCTTTTAAAAAAAAAAAAAAAAACTGGGAACAAACAACCAAAATACATACAGCCCAATGAGAATATGAACTTGAAGAACTGTGGGGGAAAAATCATATTTTCAAAAATGTATCAGCAAAAGATAAGAGATACTTATTTTCTATTCATGGACCAATCTACCTGCAAATTTGAAATAGAGGACTTAATCAAATAACGGTAATGGTGTAATGAAAAAAAATTTTAATTGTAATAAAACTATCTTTCAACTTCAACAAACACACTGAAATAATACTTTAAGTATGAATTTAAACAGTTATAATATTTAACTACGAAAATTTTAAAAACTTCGCTGGCTCATTTTCTGCATTTTTCTATTTATGTTTATCAACATTAAAAAATGGCTCATTTAAAATGGCCTATTTCCACCTAGGAATCTTACCCTATTTATCTAACTTTCTGTTTTGAACCACCACTGAAGCTTTGAAAGAACTCCAGAAAAGAACTCCAATTATAATTCTCTGAAAACTTTAAAAGTGTTTAATGAACAGAAAAACAATTTGGAAAAATTTAAAGAAAATAATGAATACGAAAACAAGAAAATTTATTTTGCTTTAAAAGTCAAGAATTTAAATTCCTTACCCTGCAACTAGAGAGGTGAGGAAATTTTTGAAGAAATCCATCTTTGGATCTGTAATGGACTGAGGGAGTTTGCTGATAAATGGCAGAAGATAAGGATAAATGACAGTAGCTAGACCCCGACCACCTTCACGAACCATGGCTGACAGCTTGGGAAACACACTTTTTTTTGCATTTACATGAAGCCAACAGTCCTAACCAAAGAAAAGATTATAATAGCAATTAGAGATCATAAACATACTTTTCCTAATTAAGAGAGAAAACATAGGCTCTCAAAAATAAAAATCAAGTATTTTATTTAAAGAGGCTAAAATCTCTCACTACCATTAAAAACTAAAACTCTGAAATTATAAATTTATGAGGGTACTTCAAAAAGTACATGGGAAGATTTGTATTATCTTTAATTCTATTATTCCACAACTTTTTAAAGTACTTTCATATTACATATACCAATCATGTATTCCACATGCTTACAGGACAATATTCATTAGAAATAATTATTTAACTTAAAGAATTTCTATAAAAGAAAGCTCTTTCTAAAAGGGACAGCTTAGGGACCGGCCTGTGGCTCACTCGGGAGAGTGTGGTGCTGATAACACCAAGGCCCCGGGTTCGGATCCCATATAGGGATGGCCGGTTGCTCACTGGGTGAGCGTGGTGCTGACAACACCAAGTCAAGGGTTAAGATCCCCTTACCAGTCATCTTTTTAAAAAATAAATAAAAATAAATAAATAAATAAATAAATAAAAGGGACAGCTTAGTAACACCTAAGTCATGGGTTTGGATCTCTGTACTGGCCAGCTGCCA